ACATCATATCCAATCTCAACATAAACAACACAATGTAATGTAATGCAATGCATGCTGATTTCGCTTCCCATTTTCAACATTCAAATCCATCACTTTTCAAACCGTTAATGAAACCCCCTTTGGTACCCCCTCAGCGCTGAGAGAAGGATTGGCTACTGTCCCTGACCGTTGGTACCTCCGCAACTTCATTTGGGGCCCAGATAGCTCAACCATGCTAGGGCAATCTCCCTAGTTCCCTCTAGGTTACATTAACCTACCAGCCCTTTGGTGACTCCGCGGCGAACGGGTTTTCGTAAAACACTTTAATCGAAACTTCTTCCCCAAAATTTCCCTTTTTCATTCCAAAACACTTTTCCCATCTTCATGCCCTATAGTATGCATGTATGTCTCATGTTCACAATGCCATGGAAATAAGGAATTTTATACTACACAATTGAACATTCTCTACAAGTATTTTAGGAAGAGTTCACATGCCATCACATACAATCTCTAGCAAGTTTTATAACATAATAGGCATGTAAGATCAACAATTAGATAAAAAGATTAACACATAAGCAAGTCTTTTTTTTTTTTTTTTTTTTTTTTTTTTTTTTTTTTTTTTTTTTTTTGTACAATTCAAATAGCACATATGATCATAAACTTCACATATAACATTTACATCATCTTCAAGACAATTAATTCAAAAACAAACATGCTTTGCAACAATTTATGAGATATAATTTACAAAGGAACAAGAAAAACATGGATTAGGAACCCCTACCTCAAATTGATGCAAAACCCTCAAAATGGGTCTAGATTTTCAAAATTTCTATGGAGCATCAAAACTGAAATTGCTGGTATGGATTCGAAGGCCTCGTCGTAGGCTTCAATTTTCCGTAAACGGCTTCTAAAAACTCCAAGAAATGAGAAAGAAATCTTGATTTGAAGTTTAGAACTCAAAAGAAAAAGAAAAATCAAGAAGAAGAGGGGGAAAAGAGAAAGATACGGGAGTGAGAGAGATTTGAGGCTAAAAATGGTCTTTAGACCATTACATAAGAGTAAGTGGTGGGTCCCGCCACTTTTCTTTTCTTTTCTCATTTTCTTTTGTTTTTAATTTACACCACACAAATACATATATATATATAAGTCACATAAAATAAAATGCATAAAATGTAAATAGACCCAACCAAAATCCCAATACATGACAATACCGGTAGCGGGTCCCACACGGGACTGTTCGGCCCGAAAAATGGAAAAATGCCTAACCTTGCATTTCCAAGAGTCTTGAACTCAATAGAATGTCCCAACCAACCGTCCGACACACCCGGCACACAAAAATGGGAAATGACGAAAATACCCTTGCATTAACAAAATTCTGAAAAAAAAAAAGAAAAATGCCGAAAATCGGAAACTTCACAGGTATAGTGCGTGAATATGTGAAAGAGTTATGACTCCTCAAGCATAGATGGTTGGTGCAGACAGCACTCGATTTGGATATCGGGAAGGGTCTGAAAGACCATTATGACTCCTCAAGCATAGGTGATGTCTACTCCTGTCAGAGTGCTGATTTTCCTTAGAACTATACTAGGGAGGGGTTGAGCACATCAGTTGGGCTATGGCATGACTTGCTCAGAGGGCTTAGCCAACGTGTATGGGCACGTGTTACACCACTCCAAGATAGTTGCACAAGAGGGGAGCATCCGAACTACCGAATGGCAAACAAGTGAGCAGTGACGCGCGCGGGTGTTTAGGCGGGCGCACGGGCAGGGGTTTAGCCCGGTGTACGCACAAGCGTGCAGTCGCGTGCACACGGATGTTCAATCATAGCGCGCGTAGATGAGCACCAACTTACGCGCCGGCGTGCAGTAACACGCTTATGGGTGTGCACTCGGACGTGCACACGGGCGTGCATGGCTTGGCACGCCGTGCACTCTAAGGCATTTATATGTGGGTGCAGATTAGTGGGCTTGGCACTGGCTAGGTTCACAAAGTTGGCTCAGTTGGTTAGGGGAAGTTACTAACACTTTCCACTCATTTTGGGGAGTAGGGGTGTGCTGAGTAACTTCCCATGCATGTGGCATAGGCGGTTGGAGTTGGTTTTCCTCCACTATGCTGACGGTTACAGAAGATGGCTAAGTGAGTTCAATTGGTCGGGGGAAGTTACTAGCACTTTCCACTCATTTTGGGGAGTGGGGGTGTGCTGAGTAACTTCCCATGCATATGGCACAGGCGATTGGAGTCGGTTTTCCCCCACAATGCTGATGGTTATAGAAGATGGCTAAGTGGGCGCAGTTGGTTGGGGGGAAGTTACTAACACTTCCCCCTCGTGTGCATATATTATGCGGAGTGGGGGTGTGCTAAGTAACTTCCCATGCATGTGGCATGAGCAAAGCGTGCCAACAAGCTAGCAGTTGGGTTTGTCAACTGCATATGTAGTGCTGACACACTAAGAGGGTGCCAACACGACCCTAGGTGGATGAGGGTGTCATCTACCACTTTAGTGGGCAGTTGTGGGCGGTTTTGAGAGTTTGCCTATATATTGCTAATGTGGGATCTGTAGAGAAGGAGATAGAGAGTGAGACACAGAGTTGTGTTGTTAGAGACTTTTATATGCTTCTGCAGGTTGAGGCCTTTCCTTATACTGTTTTGTGAATAATAGTAAAAGGTTGGAAGCCTTGTGCTTCTGTAAATTCGTGGGTATTATTGTCCTTACATTCTTGCAACTATACTTGCGTGTGAGAGTGTTTTACTTACTGTGTGTTCTAGGCAGCAAATGTAAGTTGGCTGAGCTAAGTTAGAAATTTAGAGAAAAGTTGTTCATATTTCTGGCTTAGTGTCATCACAAGCCACTAGATTCGTGTTCAGAATTTACCCTTGTGACATAATGCATCTTAACTATAAAACCATGAATTCTAGTTAAAACTCATGAGGTCGAACTATGGTAAATGCAGTTCTTCGATTTGTTTCGACAGTTTCACCAAAACCACGAGGTCGATATTGTTTACCTGACAGATTTGTAATTAAAATTGATGTTGGTTAAAATAAGTCAATTTGTAATTAAATAAATGTTAAGGTAGGTATTACAAATTTATAAACTAATCTCTCATTCTTTCTTTCCTCTTGTCCGCCTAATCTCTGTGGGATAAAAAAATCATCCATTCTTGCTTCCTTCTAACTAAGCAAGGCAAACTTCTCTTATCACTTCTCTCTTAGAAAAAAATTTGCTTTCTTCTCTGTTCGGTAAGAATGAAAAAAAAGGGAATGGAATAGAGAGAAAAAATAATGACTGAGACATCCTTAGAGAAGAGATTAAGTGTTTCTCACTTTTTGTTGGGTTAGATGGAAGAGAATGAAAAAAATTGACAATTTAATTTGATCGGTAAGATAAAAGGAAAGATAAATTTTTAAGTTATTTTTACCATTAAATCCATCCCTTATTTTTTTTATGGGATTTATTAAATATTTATGAAGGGTGATGTAGTAATTTAAAATTTTTACAATAAGTTCACTTGTCTTCTTTCATATCTTCCGCAAAAATATGGACAGATGAAAATTTGTGAAGAAGGAAGGATGATTTCTTTCCTTATATCATTTCTACCGAACGAAAAAAATTTATTCTTTTCCTCTTATTTTTTTTTCACCCCTATTCTTTCCTTCCTACCGAAATAGCATGAGTCACTAAAAATTTGGAATGTTGATGTCAAGATGTTTGGTGGAGCCTAATAAAACAACATATGTTAAAGCTGCATGTGGTTCCAAATATTGCACGTTCACTGTAGTCAACCATTCGTATAAATGGACCTAGCAATATGAAGACCATCCATGACTAAAATTGGTTCTTTTTATGTGCATCATGTTGATTTCGTATATTGTACGGTACTTCTCTACCTTTAAAAATGTAATGTAGTATGGAATTCAATCAAATTAGAGTAAACCAGCTAGTGAGAAGTGAAAAGAGGGTTTTGCAGTTTTCATAACAAAGTTCAGATTTAATGCAGCATAAAGGACTACAAAGTTATTTCATTTTATTAGTCACAATTTCATATCGTTGTACCCATTGCTTCTCAGCTCGCAGCAAGTTCGCTCATTTCGGGTGATCGAACCAAGTCATATTAGCAAAACGTGGCAAACCAAAGACCTAATTTGATGAGATTTAACCACATGATTTGAAAATGATTTATCACATTCACGGCATTGTTATAGCAAGACATGGATACAAATGTGGAGGAGCAAAACCATGCAAAAATGCCAAACAAAAACTTTCCCGATGCTGAAATTGACATCATGCATGAACTCACTCAAGTTTAAGGTCCCATTCAAATTAATGTTGAACAGAGACGGATAATGTTAAATTACTTTATAGTATGAAGCTTAATTTGGATGAGAGGTCACAATCAGTAGTAACCGACCAAGAGGCATTTATGTCACATATATTTACGTATTTATTGTTATTATCATCTTTGGCTTTATCTTAAATGAATTTACAATTATTCCCAAGTCACACTTACAATTTGGGGTCAATGATATTAAATTATTATTTGAACTGCTTCAAAAAAAACACTAATATGAGGTTTGTTTGATTCAGTTTTCAGAAAATCAATTCTCATAAAACTATTTTGAAGGAACTATAAAACACAACTCTGTGTAAAAATAAACATGCGTCGTCGGAAAAGTGTTGTAAACAAATTGAACCAAAAAGACTCATCATTGATTCATTACCCAACTAAAATATAGATCAATTGGGTCAGAGATTTACCAACCCAAATCCATTTAGGGGCACACTTTACCAGCTCTGGTAACATGGTAATTACTTACATACATGCGACAAACACTTCCCTGATCTTGAGTCTGCTTTGCCAACATGTTCAAAGCAACACACAGTAATGTTTCCACACCAAACATTGATCCCCAACCTTCTCTGCCCAACTTTTGTTTGACAATTATCTGTATAAAGGATGTCAGCATGGACAGTTATTCCAAGTCTTTCTGTAGCGCGCGCAAAAGAGATCATCCCTACAGAGAACTTCACTGCTGCTGAGAGAATGGCAGTCTTAACTCTTGATCAATTGGCTTTCATTTTCGGCCTCTTGGGTACATATATAAACACTACTATATTATATATGATCTTTCTGAAGAACTAGATGTCTTAGTACTTTCACTTTGGGATATTCCCAAATCATGGATGTTATATAGCAATTTTTTTCCCGGTAAAATTAAGGGTATACTTTGCATAACTTATCGGTCATGATATCATTGGATCACGTTTTCTTTTATTATCATATATTTTATTTTCTTTCTTGACATGTATGGACCTGTTTTATTGATTAATTTGAATGTACTTTGGTTTCTTTTGTCGTTCATAGGTAATATTGTATCATTCCTGGTGTTCTTGGCGCCAGTGTAAGCCCCATTCACTTGGGAATATTATATTAATTTGCATATAAATATGTATAATTAATCCATCATTAAACCATAAGAAGATTATTTTTGCCTGTAATTGACTTGCTTAATTTCACTGTCTCTCTCTCAGGCCAACCTTTTACAAAATTTACCAGAAGAAATCATCAGAAGGGTATCAATCAATACCCTATGTGGTGGCACTCTTCAGTGCAACGTTATTGTTGTATTATGCTTTTATCAAGACAAATGCAAATATGATTGTCAGCATTAATGGCATTGGATGTGTTATTGAAATTACCTACCTTACCTTGTACATAATATATGCACCTAAGAAGGGCAAGGTCAATCTCTCTCTCTCTCTCTCTCTCACACACACACACACACACTCATTTTCAAGAAGGATAATCAAGGATTCTATGTTTTGTCTGACAGTTGATGATGAATTAATATATATTTATGCAGATGTTCACATTAAGTTTTATATTCATATTCAACATAGGGGTCTTTGGCTTGATAATGCTACTTACCACATTACTAGTCAAGGGTCCTAAGAGGGTAGCAGTTGTGGGGTGGATTTGTGCTGCTATCAACCTGGCTGTTTTTGCCTCTCCTCTAAGTATCATGGTAACTCATATCTATATTTATATATATACACACACTTTTATTCAACAAGAAATGCTAAGTGCTGTCGCGACTACACAATCTCAACCCTTAAATTATTGATTATAATTTATGTTGCGTGCACAGAGGCAAGTGATTAGAACGAAGAGCGTGGAGTTCATGCCATTCACTCTATCATTTTTTCTCACAATCTGTGCAACCATGTGGTTCTTCTATGGATTCTTCGTGAAGGATTTCTACATTGCAGTAAGTGAACAATTCCATTAATTTACACCATATCTATCTACACTTGTTTTTAATTAAAAGCACCAACATTAACGACTGTACTGACCCTTTTTTTTTCCCAATTCATGTGATTGAATGACGATCAGCTACCAAATGTGATGGGTTTTTTATTTGGAATTGTCCAAATGATACTGTACTTCATATACAAAGACACGAACAAGGATGTCAAAATGAATTCGAAGCTGCAGCATGATGGGACGACAGGGACTGCAGAGATGAAGATGAACTCGGTAGTAATGGAGATTAATCCAAAGTCTTGTGTTGATGTTGATGATGATCAACAAGAAGATGCAGGTTTGGAGGTTAAGGTGACAATTTGTGAGGAACCAAAGAAAGCAAATGAGTCCTTAAGCTTTACAGTTAAGGGAAGTTTGAGAGAAGCTTCGTTTTAGGATTGAATTAGAGTGCTGAAGCAATGGAGTTATGGATTGTTGAAGTAGTGTTTGGATTGTAAGAATTTCAATAATTTGTATTCTCTAGGTATGTGGTCCTTTAGAGCTTATATTATAAGTTTCTGGGAGCATTTGTTGGAAAAATATATGTTTAATGTGACATTTAAAATAAAACAAACCTTATACTAATATGTCATGTAATAATTAACAATATGCTAAGAAATCATTAATTAAATATGCAACTCTATATTTAATTAAATATGCAAAATAAAGTAATAAAATAATAATAATATACAAGGAATGAACCTAGACGGAGGCTAGTATTGGATACTATGTCCTTAAGACAGATTCGCTCCGTTATGGTACTAACAGACTCAGTGACGTCTATCTCCTAGGATACAACGGTTTACATCCACCAGTAGCAGCACTACAAACTCGTGGATACGGTGAACCTCCTCCGTGTAATACTCTCTCTGACTCAAAAATGCATCTATACTATATAAATGCTGAATTGGGTGTAATTCGAACCAAATGGTTCGGGCCAATCTTAATATGGCTCGATGAAATTGAATTAGGTTCTAAGTGGTTCGGACCACTTAACCTATGTTTGAACCCACTTGGGTTGGGTTTAAGTCTAGAGCGGGAGATAGAAGAAATTGAAAAATGAATGATTTGCAAATAATCCAAATGGGGGTATTTATAGGCAACAAGGTGCCTTTTCGGATTGGATGTAACCCTTTGGAAAAAAACTAAAAGCTAGTTTTTAATTAATGTGCCTTTTCAGATTGTGTGTGTCTCTTCATCATTGGACACAACTATTTATATGTGTCTCTTCACACTGGACACATCTACTCCAATTGGTTGCAATGGTTCACATGGTGTCTATTCACTAATAGACATATCCACTCTAATAAGTTGTAATGATTCACATGATGTCTGTTCACCAATAGACATATTCACTCCAATAGATTGCAATGGTTCACATGAATAGTTATGTCTGTTGGTTTTGAGTTGCAACCCTTTAAAAACAGATGCAACTCTTTGAAAAAAACAGATGCAACCCTGTAGAAATAGATGTAACCCTTTGAAAAAAAAATCTAACTTTTAATTTAAATTTAAAAACTAACCACCCATTTACATAAACCTAGCCTAAAATTAAAGGCCCAATCTAAGATTCCATTTAGTAAAAAGAATAATTGGACTTTACAATTAGGCTCAAGCCCAAGCCCAAGCCCAAGCCCAAACTTGGCTTATTTAAATTTCAATTAGTTTCAACATTTTTTTCATGTGGGACAAACACTTCCCACATTTTGCATACCTATTTAGGCTTATCAAAACACCACATTTTGGAGCTAATTTCTCATTCACCCGGAAACGGATTCGAGAAAGTAAATATACTACGTTCATCTCCTTGTGGAGAGAAACGCGCTCATCTAGAGATTCGCAAGAAATTATTAATGGAATCTATTCCAAACCTCATCTAAAGTTTATGGTTTTAATGCCCCCGTTTCCAACAATCCCTCACATGAATGGAAATTTGCGTAAAATGCAAAAGATGATCGTGCAGACACTATAGAGTATATAGTCAGAAAGTTACTGCATCAGGATAGGTAGTTTTTGGCTTTGAACCTTCCTTAGTGTATTGCTATCGGATTTACTGGCTAACCAGTGAACGCGATGTCTTGAATTGTTCAGCCGTTTGTGTAAACCAAGACAATAACAAACACACAGTACCTTTCCTCACAAAGTTGGTTCTCATTGTTGTGTTCATTTTGGCCCTGAACAATTCCTGTTATTCAATGAGTGCTCCAGAAAACTTAGCCTTTATAGTTCTCATAAAAGCGGCCCCACTTCACGCTCATATAAGTGACTTTTTATTAAGAGTATCCTACCATACCCCACTTGAATTTTCAAGGTATAAGAGTCATTAAAAAACATAACTTATCCTAATCCTCGCTATAGGTAGCACTGTCTCATCATAGAAATGGACAGAAGATTTATATCTTCCCAGTGCTTTTGGTGAGTCACTCAGAATTTCTGTTGTCCCTTTGAACCTAGATCTTGGGATCTCTAGTCAACTAGGTTGGGTTTCCATTAAGGTGACTCGTTAGCTTTCGGCTTTAAACCCAATTCCCCTCGATGATCTGTACAATTACTCTCTAGTACAATCCTCAATTTTATATGTGGCCACAAGGTTGTGTTTAGAAATATTACACTCTGCAGAGATTTCTCCAGGTGAGAGCAACTTTATACTTTGTGCCCTAAAATTGCTTATTGTTAGCAATATCATTTTCTTTAGTGGCACAGGTGTAGACTTACTTTGAAATGTCCTCTAGGTGAAGTCTATTGACTTTCCTATTTGATTTATTCAAAGTTTCTAACTTTGAGTTATATTAAGAACATACAACTACACCTTTAATATAAAAGACATATCCACTCTTGGATTTGAAGTCTTTAATATCTCATATCCAGATTGCATCACTGTTACACCTCCAATTTAATTAGATACCTCGATCTATGTAATATTGGATTTAGGGTGTATCTCCACTACGTAATTTATTATTTTTCAATGATCCGATCCTGGATTGAAAATATGCAATTAAACACAGTTATTAAGATGCCTTGCAATCTCAACCAATGATATACTTTGACTAATATTTATATTTGAGATTTACATCTACAAAAGTTAGCTAGGCTTTTGTTATCATAACTAGTATTATCTCAATCTCACTCTATTGAGAATATATTATGTTATCAGATGTTAAATCTTTCATATTAAATATACTAATTAGTATATCATTAATTATTATTATTATTATTTTAAGCATACAATGACTTATACATTACATTTATGTCATTGTCTTGGTACCAACTTTAATTCACTCAAGGACTTATAAGCTTGCACACTTTACTCTTCAACTAGAACAAATAACTCAGCTCTTCCGTTAGAAAAAAAAACTCTTCTAGTTGTTCCATAATATTTTCCTCATAGGAAACAACATGCACTAGTTTATAATCTTGAAAACAACATGCACTAGTTCATAACAAATTTTATCTATGGACAATATCCCCCCACAACTTTGGGATAATCTTGAAATTTTATATATGATATATTTCTTATGGTTTTCCAAGTCTTGAAATACCATATATTATATATTTCACCTCATCTTCCTTTCCAAGTTTTTATATTCATTTTTTAACAAACATGTATAACAGTCTCTAATGCATATGTATTCACTTTATCTCTAGCTTGTTCTTATAATATGTCATAGACGTTACTGTGAATTAATACTGGAGATATTAATTACAATGGGCTTTAATTAATATTTGTAACTACATCTCTTGTATATATGAATTGAGTTATTCATGTTTAGGTTCATGTTAAGTCAGTCATCTTAACATGTCATAACATTTCATGTGTCATACATCACATAACTCAATCATTTAAGCAAATAACTCACTTATTGTTTAAGTTTTGGATACATCACCACAAAGTGAGCACTCACTTCTCAACTATCATTACTAGTTAAAAGTGAGTTTTTAAGCTCTCATTACTAGCTTAGATTAAGCACACTCTTCTCATTAATTACTACTAGTTTATAATGAGCACCCACTTCTCTGCTATTACCACTAGCTTGAAGTTAAGTTTGCTCAGTTATCAATTTTAGTAGCTCTTAACTTTAGTACACACTTAACTAAGTAGTTTACCTTGGTAGTAGAGTAATTTGTTTTGAAAAATATTCTTTAAAAACTACTAATTCACAAGTAGTATTATTCACTCATATATGAGTAGATATGATGTATAGCTCAAATAGCTTATGGCTAAAATGGCTACTCATCATCCTCGTGTTTTTTACTACCAAGTAGAGAGTAGGAACCAACTAACAGATTTTCATCTTCCTCTTAGGTTCTGTGCACCTCATTAATCATTTTAACTTATGGCTAAGCTAATTAGTTTGCAACTTAGTAACATTTTAGCTTTCAGCTAAATTGTACATTATAACTAACTAGCTTGATTTAGCTTGTCTCAATATACTTGCTTACTGTATCCATAACATTTTTCATTAAACACTTTAAAGTTATCAGAAAATCTTATCTTATTCAGCCCATTCACAGCTATACGTGTCTTTAAATACTAGTAAAGATCTTTTTCCCTTGACTATCGGGAGAATTGACATAGCTAGACTAGTCAATTTTTGTCTGTTGTATTAAATACACAAACCAGTCATAAACTCATCCAAAATTAATAATATCACACATTAAATCAATTATATTGTAAAATTAAATTATTATGCACATTAAGTATTATTATAATATCAATTAAAAGTAAGCACTTATATAAATAATATTGAACTCACATAAATAATATTATACTACATGATTAATTATATCACATAACTAATCTAAGATATAATAATATTCAAGAGAAGACTTTGTTTTCTCAAACCTTTGTGCCTCATTCACCAATAAACATGCTAGAAAATCAGGACCAAAAGATGTAGACGTTCTAACTCACAAGAAAATGATATGCACTGATGTTATGAGCATAACCTATCAAAGGTTTTATGTAACGATTTACTCCACCATATAATATGATATTGTCCGCTTTGGAATCGAGCCCGCACAATTTTGTTATTGGGTTTTATCTCAAAATGCCTCATACCAATTGGAGATAACACCACTACATAAAATCACTTTATCTTTCCTTGTGTAGAGGTGTGGGGACTGTTCACATGTAGCTTGCTCAGTGTGGTAGCATGTCAGTGCCTCTTGCACTCGCTCACGGCACACCCACTCACAAGGTCGTCACATTATAGGTCCCACTTTAACTTTCTTAGGAGTAGGAACTGCAAACTTAGTTAGACACCCCCACACTTCTAAAATTTATAGGAAGGTTTTTTGACCTTTCCATAATTCATATGATGTCACATTAGTTTCTTTTGAGGTATTTTATTGATAACATAATTTGCGAAAAGCAAAACTTTCCCCCACAAATTCTG